CAAATATCAACAAGAATAAAGCAGGTCAATATTGTCATCAGACAAAGTTCAAGGTAAAAAAAGAAAAAAAAGAATTAAAAAACCAGGCACACAAATCTCTAAGCAAAATAAAAACGTATTTTGCATAGATAAAAGCTTGCATCCTAAAATGAAGATGTATAGTGTCAACTATTAATTTAAAGGCACTTACATTACATTTTCATTATTAAGTAACAAAAATAAATTAACTAAGTCAATGTTTCCCAAATTTCAGTCATTTGTATAGCACCTTCACAATATACTTAAAGTTTTGTTTCATCTTATGTACATTTTATTTATATAAAATGTAACATTATACTGCTGCTGGAGAGGGGAAATCAGGTTCATTGATAAATAGAAGGGAAAAATACAAATAAATTCTAAATTGTAGCTGAATTCTTCACCTGTGGATGAACTTTAGCCAAAGGCTTTCCCTCTGTTTTTACAAGAGATATTAGCAAGTGTTGGAGAAGTGTAAAATAAACATTTGCACATACACCTAAAAGACTCTTTCTTACAAAATAGAGATCGAAAATGGGATAATGGCCAATGTTACTTAATGTTGCATTCCTGGGCCATGTACAGGTGGCAATATTGGTTTATATCACACCCTTGCAGAAACTCTGAAGTAGACTTAAGTCAGGAAGTTGTGGTGAAAAAAAGGAAATACAAAATAAACCAAAAGAAAATAGGAAGAAATTAATAATCAAAAAAGCACTTTCAAAATAACAAGGAAAAAAGGAGTTGACATATATTGAGCCATTATTTGATCTCTAGAAAACACAAATTGTCATGGGAAATGTGAAATGAAGTGGGCCCCTTCCCTGACAAACTCCTTGAAATGGCTACCTTTTCTCTACTTTGAGAAGTAGGCTCACCAGAAGTCACAGGAAATTAATAAGGTGAGAAAGATGGGTCCAAGAGGGCTAGAGCAACTAGTTGCAACTTTTTAAAAATTAATTTTATAAGTTCTATAAAGCCAGTGTGCAATATCCCCAGAAATTAAGAGGAACAGCAAACAAGGTGGAGCTGGCTTATTGGGCTTAGTGACACAGTGTGCCAACCCAGTAAAAGGCAACCAAATACCCCTGGGATAAATTGTAAACAGGGTTCCAGTGAGCAGGGAGCTACACATATGACTCCTTATATAAAGAATAAATGTAAATTGGTCTTGCTCTTCCTGAAGTAGGCAGAGACTTGGAATGGAAATGAAAATGAAGAATAAATGTAAAGTACTCCTCTCTTAGTAACATAGTACAACTATAACCACATTAGCAACCTTAAGTCTAGCCTGAATTTAAACCTAAGCAAGTCCCTTGAGTGTGGCAGTCAAAATCAGCTGAAATTCTGAAAATGGGACATAATGCTATGAATGTTGAACAAAAGATTTAATTTATAATCTAAGTTTTATACCATTTAATATTTCTGTTGCAGAAAGCTAAGAAAGAATACTGAAGAAAAGAACAAGAGCTAAAAAATATAGGAAGAGAAGGTTGCTAAAGTCTTCTGGGAAAGTTCTTTCTTATTTTTGGGGGACTGTTTCTGGAGAGACCCTCTTTCACTGAAAGTTATTACGTGCAGATTCAAGGTTTGGAATTGCTGTAGCCATCTTGTCAAAATCTGAAGATGAAGCCTACACAAAGAAAAGGGCAGAATGAAGATAACATAAGAGAGATAAAACTACAACAGTGAGATCATCTAGTCTGGAAACTGTTCTATCTGTGGATTTGTAACCAAGCAGGACCCTATGTGACCTTCCTGGGACAGAAGCGCTACCAATGTTCTCCGCCTGCCTCTTGTTTTAGAAAAGCTTTAGTGTCCCAGGTTCCCCTGAGTTGCAAAAGTCTGGCTCAAGAATTAATGATTGAAAGAATGTGAACATGTAGTAACAAAAAATGGTAGTTGAGCTACGAGAACTGATGACAATTTGAACAATAAATCAGGCATATAGCAGAATCTTTAGTTCTTCTCTGAAGGGTATAGATAGCAGTATCTGATGCACATTCCTGAGTTGTTTTACAGATACTAAAACCACCACCAGATGGAAGAAGCTAATGGCATGATTACCATGAGCATGTAGTTCCAAGACATGCTGGAGCCTGAGGATTGATAATGTTAATCCCTGTGACACCACCCTGTTACCTCACCATCAATCAATCAGGGAATTGTGCATGAGCTGATCATGCACAACTCTCTGTGACTCCTCTCCCTCATCTCCCCTTTAAAACCCCTTCCCTGAAACCCATCAGGGAGTTTGGGGGTTTGAGCATTAGCTGCCCATACTCCTTGCTTGCTTGGTGCCTGCAATAAATGCTGCACTTCCCTTCACCACAACCCATTGTCAGTAGATTGGCTTTACTGTGCACAGGCAAGCAGACCCAAGTCCAGTTGGGTAACAGTTTTAGTTATGTGAGTCCATCTGGGCTGGATATCCAAGATAGCTCACTCACATGGCTGAGAATTGATTCTGGGTGCCAGCTGTGAGCTCAGCTAAGCTGTTGACTAGAATGCCTGCCTGTGGCCTCTCCAGCACAACTGTCTTAGGGCAGTCAAACTTTTTACATGGTGGCTGACTTAGCACAGGGTAAGTGTCTCAAAAGACTCATGGGGAAGTAGCACAGCCTTTTCTGACCTATCTTCAGCAGCACTCAGATTCTATTTGTTATCAGTGAGTCATAAGACCAGCCTAAATTAAAGGGGAAGATACTATTTAGACTCACCTGTGAAAAAGTCACACTGTAGAAAAGCAGATGGGATGGGAGATATTGCTATTGGAAAATAAATTTTGCCACACCCATTTATTTATTTTTTTAAATTATTTTTAATCATTCTGCAGTGCCAAGCTCCATTTCCTGAGAAATATTAATAATGATACAAAAAAAAATCCCACTATGTGCCTGCAAAATAGTTAAGATTGTGGGTTAGTTGGATGATACTGGGCATCAATTTTCTCTTCTATAAATAGGAATAATAATAGGACCTACCTCATAGGGTTGTTCTCAATGTTAAAAGAATTAATACACATAAGTGCTAGAAAATTTTCTAGATCATAATACGTATCAATAGGTGATTGTTAAAAGGGATTAAAATAGCCCATTTATAAAACATCTGTCAGTTAACATTTTAAGTTAAAATGTATGGTGTAAACAGAAGATACACTCAAAATAAAATGAAACAGAATTATGTAAAATAAAATGAGAAACATACATCAGGCAAATAACCACTATAAAACTGGCATAGAAAACAATATTTAAAAGAATTTAAAATAACAAGTAACAGAAATAAAGAGTGATGTTCCCAATGAAGAGAGACTACCTATAAAGAAATCATTGGAGCATTGTGTATAACAGCAAAAAATTACCCTTCATTAAAAACTGTATAAATAAAAAGTTTTACATTCATTCAATGAAATACTGTTAAGTTAAAAGATTATTAAGAAAATGTCATAAATAAAATGTGCTAAATTCATGTGATGGAATACTATTAAGTAAAAACATCATGGCTAGATGTTAAAAACAGAATCCGGTTATAGAACAGTAAAACTGTAAATTTTTAAAAACTGTTGTTTGCATACCAATATGCAAACCAAAAAATACACTGGTGAATATTATATCAAAATAATGACAGTTTCTGGGAAGATGGGGAAGAAAATGCCACTCCATTATTAGTAATTTATTTTATTTTACAAAGGGTATGAAGCAAATATATCAAAATGCTAGCATTTCCTAGGAAATGAGAGTAATTATTAGTAAGTGCTTGTTTCTGTAGTTTTCTGTCAAACCGATGACAACGCTAACAATACTACCTTCACACTAAACTTTGGTGTGCTGTCTTATTCAGTGTTGTCTGTCTGTTAATGGTGGAAAGCATAACCATATGGGATGGACGGTTCATTGTTTTCTAAAACCATTCCACTGTCTTTTACTCTGAATTTTTTTTATTCTGAGCTTCTAACTTCTAAATAAATCTTGGTTTGTTTGACAGAGGGAGGAGATACTGAGATACAAAGAGGTGAGGGGGGTGGTTCTGGAATGTTTAGATGGTAGTTCAACTATTATGCTCTTTCATTTAAATTTTCAAATTTTAAATATATACGAGTCAAGTTCGTAAGCCACAAAATAACAAACAGTGTTACCTACAGGTTTTACAGAGGCTAACTCTAAGAAGCTTGGCTCTGCAGGTCCTGGACTTTTGACTTCTGGACATCATCCAATGGTTCTCTTTCTTGATTAACTGTCATCTGGTTCCAAGCAGTTCAAAGAAGAAACGAGAGAAAAAACTGTGGTTCCTATGCAATTTTATATCTGTTCCTGCTTTCCTATCATCATCTATAAAAACAACATGCCTTTAATCTGAAAACATATGTTATCAATGCAAAAGACTTGGAGAACCTGTATGCAAAAAATTAAAATTCCGAAATCACCTATGATTATGGACATCTTCCCCATTACATTTAAAAAAAGAGTTCCTAGAGTACCTACTAAGAAAAGAAACTGTACAGACCTCAAAACAACAAGTTAAACGAACTGAGTAATTAGTGTTGGCTTTTTATGGATAATTATGATTTCATTCTCTATACTTTGTTTTCTAAAATTTCTGTACTTAGGTAATCTGGAACAGATGAAAAAAGAGCAAATAGAAAATGTAATGTTTACATGGTAGATAAATGAATACGTAAATTCTCCGCTCTAGGCTACGCCACCAACCAAATACTGACTCATTAGCTAATACCTCTCTGTTAGGCACAGTAACACAGTAAAACAAAACCAAACCAAATAAACACTGGTTCAAGGACACCACGAACCCCCTTTCCCATAATTCGTTTCCCAGGAATCCCAGGGCTCTACAGAGAGGAAGTTAAGCCCGCCCCTCACGCTTCATTGGCCATTGGTCACTGGTCCCGCCCCACAAGCTCGTCTTTGAAGCCGTTGATTGGATATGAGTGAGGACCGTGGAGGGGACTGGTACTGACAGCCGGTGCGGAGGCGGGGCCATATCCCCCGGAAGTTCTACCCGGACCGCCGCGCTATGGATCGCGTGCTACGGCTCCTCGCGCGTTCGCGTTTCCTCTCGCGCGCTCCAGCTTCCGACCCCCGCCCTGGCCCCGGCCCGGCTGGCGCGGCACCCCTGCTGCTTCGGCCTCCGAACGTCGTTCGAATGGTGAGCTCGTGCCGCCCAACCGCCGTGGCCGCCCCGCGATGACCTTCAGGCCTCCCGCCTGCTGGCCCTAAGGTCCCGATACTCGGCTGCGTGTTGGAACTTCGCTGCCGGCCCGGGGCGCCTCCTCCGCCGGGGGAGCGCCCGGGAGGGGCTGCAGCTGTTGGCGAGAGCCCTGTCGGGCCTCCCCGACCCCGCCCCAGCCGCGCTCACTGCTTCGCCCCTGCCCGCGGCGGCTGCCCTCGGAAAGGTGCTGGGGTAGACGGTGTGAAGAGGGAGCGGCGCCGGAATGGGACGGTGTCCGGAGGGGGCTGCTCCGCTTCTGCCTTTGATGGGCCCAGCTAGATCCAGCCCCTCTGAGCTAGCTTCTGGGGTCACAGCTCTGCAGGGAACTGTTCTTAGGCCTCCAGGCAGGTTGAAAGGTCTTGTGAACCTAAGAGATTTTACTTTTCATGAAATTGGCCATTTAGTTTGTTAGGCTGGTTTTCCCCACCTAACTTTTGTATAAACCCTGAAATGTGAAACGGGGGCAGAGTGTCCTGAAGTACGTTGGAGGAAATTGCATGGACCATAACATAACTACAGCTGAATCAGCACTTTTTATTGAGAAAGACCTGCAAGGAACTTAAAGGTCCAATTTCAGGTTATGACACCCTGACTTACATGAGCTCTTTTGCGCTTTAGAGTGTCACCTTCGGTAATTTGGGCTTCAACAAGCATTAAATACGTATGCTCACATGTGTATTATCAGGAAAAGTTTGAGAAATAAATGCTAGTTTAGGAAGACTTACATTCTGCACTCTTCACTGCTGTATGAGCTTTCATTGAGAGAGATGTGATTTCAGACCCTAGTCTGCTACTCAGAGTTGGGATTTGGAGCAGGTAATATTTGTCCTCAGTGTCTGCCGGTAAAATGAAAATAATTACAAATACTCATCAAGATTGCCCCTGTGAAAGTACTTTGAGTTTGGGATATGGTGAGTGCTTATTAAATGAATGCTTCCATCTAAGGTATTTCAAAGGCCCAAGACATTTTTCTGGGCTATAAACTGTAAGATAATTTGATGACATCACTGTACTTGAGAAACTGCGAAATCAGGGGTGCTTTATATTTCTGCAACTCCCTGCTTGAATAATTTTAGTGCACTTTAGAGCCTTTTAAAAATTTGTTTTTCACTTATTTAGTGTTTTGTAAAAGGGAATAGAAGGCTGGAGAACTGACTCTATCCCGCTGTCAATGTCAAAAAAATAGCATTGCGTTGCTTTTAATGTTATAATGTTAGCTAACATCAGATGAGGATAGATTTTTTTTTATATAATCCTAAATACATCTTTTGCCCTCTAATCTCAGCTCCAAAATCTCTGAGTTGATTTTATTAAAAGTTTTTCTTGTTGCTAGTGTTAAGAAATAAACTATATTCAATATCCTGTGACAAACCATAATGTAGAAGATTATGAAAAAGAATATATATGTATAACTGAGTCACTTTGCTGTATAGAAGAAATTAACACAATATTATAAATCAACTATACTTCAATAAAATTTTTTTAACAAAACAAAGAAACTCACATAACCCTAAATGCTCTGTTACCTTTTATCTCAATTAAGAACACAAGGAAGTTCATCCAACAGGAAGATTACATTGAATGCTCCCTGTGTGTAAAACAGTCACTATGGGCACAGAGTTTAGAGACTACTGAGGCATATTAAATAAGCAAAGAAGTCATGCACAGTTAATAACACTGTGGTACCGAGGAGAAAAAGTACAGTGAGAGTGAGAATATATAATGGAGACCTGCTGTGAAACTGCCTTGGTAGCATGGTGGACAAGGAAGTCCTACATTTTTTAAAGTTACTTTATGATCTTCAGGATGGCTATAAAGTCTGGAAACATAGATAATATTCTGTGTTACAATGCAATATCAATAAACCATTTATTACATATTTGTCAGTATTTCAAGACTTAGTGGTCACCCTATATTTTAAGAACAGAAAGACTTTTTAAAAAGTCTATTTAAAGAAACTGAAAGCCCAAACACAATGAAGTCAAATTTTGGATTTTTATCTCTTGAGATAGTCTTTTTGCCTAGGAAATGATTTGGATTTTCTTGAACACTGAAATATTCTTTTAAACCACCTTAGGATAAGAATCTGAAAGGCATTTTATATTTTCTTTAGGAGATACCATGGTTTAGTTAATGGTTATCTTACACATGCGTGGGGATATACTATAGGCCTGAGGCCTATATTTTTTTGGCTGGCCTTTCTGATTTAGACTGGCATGCAAATTTGGAGACCACCTCATCAATTTCTGAGGTTACCGGAATTAGTGGTTGGTAATAGCACTTGGTATTTCTAGGGCTAAATAGCAATCATACTATGGTGAACACTGGACACATTATTCATTCATGCTTCTCCAGGAGGGGAAGTGATTGTGAATAAACATGCATCTCCCAGGGCATCGGGAAATTGCACATTTGTGCCTGCCCCATGCCTAGCTGGTTAACTCTTTAAACTTATCCTAGAAATTCTGCTCTCTAAATTACAGGTTATAAAGACATAGTTTTCAAAAACACTAGTTTTTTGTGACAATGGATTATATTATATGAATTAAAAACATATTTAATAGATACCATCATGACACCATTTTTCATCAAAAGCACTGATAATTTTCCCATTAATTTAGGTGAGCAGCCCTCCTCTTCTTGCCCAAGCCACTGAGAAGAGGTGACATACATTATAATGTGGGAAGGTTTTGAAAATCATACATATGTTTTTCAGACTTCAGGTGGACTTATTAGTGGGTGGAGAAATCAATGTAGTGGGCAGTTAACAGCATTGGGTTTTTGACAGAATAGCATAGAATAGAAAATAGGCGCACAGACAGATTTTTTCACGGAATTTTTATTTCAGGTTTGTGTGCATGTACATGTGTGTTTATGTACAATATAAAGGTTTTTTCTTCTGTAGGTCATTGGGAAGAACGTTTGAAGAGATTTGGCAGTTACCTGTTTCATTGTTCCTCTATCTGTGTATATGTGCTTGTCTAACAGACACCAGCCATAGGCATTGCCTCCACTGACAGAGCCTGGAGCCTTTCAGAGTATTTTACAGCATTGCTTCAGTTTCTGATCTACAGATTTGTGCAACCTATATATTTCCTGGGTTAAAAAAAGGGAGAACTTTCTGGTTTTTTGGAATACTTTATTAGCTGGCTAAGCTGCTACAATGTTTGTTGTTGGAAATTTGGGATGTTTATTTTTATTACTGTAAGGACAAGAAGTATATTTTTTGAAGTGTTTACTGAGATTGTGATTTCAGCCACAATTGACATCTGCCATTTTTTAATGGTCAGTGTCAAGATCTAGAATTTGATGTAGACTGTTGTTTCTTGAGTTAGAATTTAAATTTTTCTAAAGTTTAAGCTTGAAGAACATAGGTAAAATTTATTCATTTAAATCTTTCCAAAATACTTTGGATATGAGTTTTATCATTGCAACCTGTTATTTAGGTGACAACATTATTCCTGTTTTATGATGAAAATTTAATAATTTTGAACACAAAAAATGATGTTGTAAATTTAAGGAATCGAACTTGATTTCACAAATGACTGATGGAAACCAATATCCTTTCTTTGGAGCCAGTAACTATTTGCTGTCTTATAACAAGGTGATGGAGAGGAAGAAGAACCTAGCTCATGTGTCCAGTGCCACTGTTGTCATTGCTAATGTTATTGCACCAAAGTATATTTTAACATACAAGGATATTTACTTAGGATATTTAAAACAAAGATCATTATGCAAAATTTTTTTGTGCATTTGAGATATAAAACCCCAGCTGCAAGTTGGCATACGGTGGTGTCAGTGTAAGCACACTCTATTAGAGAAAAATCTAACTGTACATCTTCAGATCCTACAGGATAGTGGTTGTTGTGGGCCAATCTGGAGTTACTTCCTCCATTTCTTGGTTAATGGAAGTGATAAAAAAGGGAATCCAAACAGCTTTTAGAATACGAAAGTCCAGGGTTTGAGTGTTTCAGGCCCTCCCTCTTGCTGTCTGGGTGATCTGCTGAGATTATTTAATCTTGTGCAGCCTCAGTGTCTCCTTCTTTAACATGGGGATGACGATAGTAAAATCTCCTAGGGTGGTTGTGAAATTCATATAAGGTGATACCTAAAAAGTGTTTGCTACATAGCACAGTAAATGATTATTTTTATTGGCTTCTCCTTATTGGCTTAGACCAGTCCTTTGCAGACTTTTTTTTTCCATTTTTATTGAAATGTAATTGACATACAGCACTGTATAAGCTTAAGGTGTACAGCATAATTTGACTCACGTACATCATGAAATGATTGACACAATAAGTTTAGTAATCATGCATGATATCATATAGAGAATTAAAGAAATAGAACAAATTTTTTCTTTGTGATGAGAACTCCTAGGATTTACTCTTTTAACAGCTTTCATATATAACATACAGCAGTGATAATTATATTTATAATGTTGTACATTACATCGCTAGTACTTATTTATCTTGTAACTGGGAGTCTGTAACTCTTGACTGCCTTCATCCAATTCTGCCTAACCCCACCCTCTGCTTCTGGTAACCACAAATCTGATCTCTTTTTCTATGAGTTTGTTTGTTTGCTTGTTTGTTTTTGAAGTATAATTGACCTACAACACTATGTTAATTCCTGTTAAACAACATAGTGATTTTTTAAAGTTATTTATTTATTTTATTGAAGTATAGTTGGTGTACAATATTATATAAATTACAGGTGTACAGTATAGTGACTCACAATTTTTTAAGGTTATGCTCTATTTGTAGTTATTATAAAATATTGGCTATGTTCCCTGTTTTGTAAAATATAGCCTTGTACCTTATTTTACACATAATCGTTTGTATCTCTTAATTCCCTACCCCTGTATTGCCCCTTCCCTCTCTCCACTGGTAACTACTAGTTTGTTCTCTATATCTGTGAGTCTCCTTCTTTTCTTTTTT